TCCAACAGAAACCCTCCAGGTTTCTGTGCTGAAAGGCACCTTCAACAAATTCCTTCTCTTTATATAGTCCTGCCATGGTCAGCCTTAATTCCTAATGTTCTCCTCGGGCTTCCTGGCACATTCGAGCCCGGACATAAATCATGGCCATGCAGCCCCGGGGGGGGATCACCAGCAGCCATCCGGTTGGCTCCTGGTCCTGCTTTAAATCCGGAGCTGCTCTGGCATCACGCTGTGATGAGAGGGGCCAAAACCCTGCCTGGGGCACCTTGGGGAGCAAATCCCAGGTTCCTGGTGCCACACTGGAGCTTTTAGCTAAAAACCGTGTAATCTCCTTAGGAAAGCTGCACCAAATCCCCCACGCAAGGCAGCAAGAGCTCAAGGCACAAAGGCTCCGGCTCAAACCTCCTCTCTCCTGCCTTTGAGACCTGTGAGCCCGCTTGCAAACAGCGCTGCCATCCAGCAAGAGCCATCAGTGTCTCTCTGGAGAGCTGCTGATCCCCCTGCTTTCATTACAGCCTCAGGGAGACCCAGGGGCCTTGGGAAGGATCAATGAGCATGAAAATCCCCCCCTTTTTTTTTGCTTTTTTCCACAGAAGGAACACGCAGAATCCTAAAATCTGCTCGTTTCTGCAACCCATTACCCTCGTGGGTGGCTCGAGCCATTGCAATAGCATTAGAGCACTGTTAGACTTTGTCTTTTGAGGGACCTCCTGGGTGGCTGAGGCTTTACCACCCTCCCCGCACCACCACAGGCGGAGGCTGGGACTGGGAACACCAAGGAGCTGATGTAAGGAGCTTACCCAGGGCTTTGTCTCATTGAACACCAGCAAACACAAGTTGTCATTTCCCTGCACGCAGCCAACACGGAGCTTTTCCAGCCCTTTCATCTCCACGGGGCCCAGGACTTGGATGCTGCGCTGTGCTATCCATTATGCAGCACGCCAAGCAGCACCAAGATCACATTCACTCTTGCTCAAGACTAATTAAGATGAATGTTAACTGTCTCCAGCACTCATTACCCAAGAGGGAATCTATTAGTGGCTCTGATGGAAGCGCTCTTTGGAGTAACCACCTCCCATTGCACAAAGATGCTCGGTTTCTCCCTTTCTCTGCTGACCCGGACACTTGCATGAAAAGGCACCTCAAGAATCATTGACTCATAGAGAATGGGCTGGGCTGGAAGGGACCATAAAGCTCATCCAGCTCCAATCCCTGCCACTCCTTGACCAACACCCCCAAGTCCTTCTCCTCAGGGCTGCTCCATCCAGTCTCCCCCAGCCTGTAGCTCTGCTGGGGACTGCTCTAATAAACCCAGGGGCAGGACCTTGCCCTTGGCTTTGTTGAACCTCATGAAGCTCTCGCCTCTCCAGCCTGTCCAGGTCCCTCTGGATGGCATCCATCCCCTGGGCCATGTCAAGTGCACCACACAGCTTGGTGTCACCTGCAGATGCTGCCCTCCATGACTATGCCATTGATGAGCATATTAAGCCGTACTGGTCCCTGTCATCTGGCCAGACCGATGGTTAATGCAGAGGAAAACCAGAGCATTAACCCAACACATCCTGCTGCTGCCTCAGTTCCCCCCCCCCCAGCTGTCGCCTGTGGGCCGTGGTGTTTGGAGGGGGAGATTTCTTTCTGCTAATGAGATGTTCCATGAATATCACAGCAAACAGGAAGGAAAGCGTAGGGATGTGAGAAAGCAAAAATAAACTGGTCTATAAATAACCCCCCTCCGGCAGCGCCGGGCAGCACGTCGTGGTAGAGCCCCTTCCAGGGATGGGCAGCTGCTTCCCGCATGCCACAGGAATACAGAGATTTCTTTAACAGCTATAAGAAACTGCTGTTCTTGGTGGAAAAACATCCTCGAGCACCCACTTCTGAGCACCCACAGGAAAAGGAGCCTCTCTTTTGCACAGAGCCGATTCAGGGCCAGGGATGCGCGCAGGGAGGAGCAGGCAAGGAAATTCGGACATCCTGGATTTGTGTCTAGTTAGCCCCATCAGGCACCTGGGATTGGTTTTCCCCACGCCAAGCAAGGCTTGGTTTAAAGTTATTCCCATAAATCCCCTTTACTGGTGGGTTTGGAAGTATCGGAAGCTGCTCTAAGGTCTCCCCCGAGTCTCCTCTTCTCCAGGCTGAACAAGCCCAACTTAAGCCCAGCTGACCTCGTGATAGAATAGTTAAGGTTGGAAAGGACCTTAAGATCACCCAGTTCCAACCCCCCTGCCATGGGCAGGGACACCTCACACTAAACCATGGCACCCAAGGCTCTGTCCAACCTGGCCTTGAACACCACCAGGGATGGAGCATTCACAACTTCCTTGGGCAACCCATTCCAGTGCCTCACCACCCTCACAGTAAAGAACTTCCTCCTTATATCCAATCTAAACTTCCCCTGTTTAAGTTTGAACCCGTTACCCCTTGTCCTATCACTACAGTCCCTAATGAAGAGTCCCTCCCCAGCATCCCTATAGGCCTCCTTCAGACACTGGAAGCTCTGAGGTCTCCACGCAGCTTCTCTTCTCCAGGCTGAACAGCCCCAGCTTTCTCAGCCTGATCATCAGAGATGTCCCAGGAAGCCCCCCGAAATGTCCAGCCAAGGACAGACCCGACAAGGACTGCGGGTGCAAGGGCAAGGGAGCATCCCTGCACTGTCAGCCTGGGAAACGGAAGGGATGCTTTGCCCCGAGAGCCTCAGAAGTGGCTCCTGGTGAAGCACCATCAGAACAGAGCCCAATAGAAAGCCTCAAAGGGGAGTAAGTTGTGTCTGGAAGTGACCTCCAGGCTTCCCATTCCCTGAGACTGAGCTGAGCCCCCTTCCAGCATTCCCCTCATCATTCCTGTATCCCCATGGCCAGCCCAGCACCAGACACGATCGCACCCCGCAGCTCCCAGCAGGAGAAAACCAGCCAGGTTTCCTGTTGCGATGGAATAATTGTGGTGATGTTGATTCAGCCTTCGAAGAACATGGATAAAAGCAGGTTCCTGGGTGTAGGCAAAGAGCAGGCGAGGCTCGGAGATGCTGTGAGCACAGGTTATATTTAGGGCAATCCAATAAATCTCTGTTTTGACCTTAAATAAAGGACCGAGTGCAGCTGGGAAGAGAATGAAGGCGAGCGGCACGCTTCGCAGCCCTCATATTAATGCATCAAGCCACGGATTTATTTTGTCAGGCTGTCAAAAGTGGCACCTTTACGGGTTTATATAAAGAGGCATTAGACTAGAAAACACTTTGTAGCTAAAAACCCCCATTAAAATAAAGAATATATTGCCCAGGTTTTGCTACTGAATAGGATTGAAAAGCAAATAGGGGCTGCAAAGGGATGGAGAAGCTGCGTTCTCCTGCGTGGAGAGGCTGCGACGCAGTGTAGCGCATGGATGGGGTGTCTGACGCATCCATCAATACAGGTGTTTGCACCCTTTTCAAACAGCTTTTGGCCTAAGCTGGCTAATGGATAGGGAGCTGAAACGCTGCTGCATTGTCACAGATGACTGGGTTTTGGTCCAAAATGAAAAGCTTATTTTTCTCCAGGTCCCAGCTGGGAACAACCAGCCCCTGTTTGGAGTCAGCCTGTCCCGAGAGGACACAATTCCAGAGCCAAACGCTGCCCATGAACCCACCAGAGCAGGGAGCAAGTGATGGGCACGAGGGTTGAAATCCTTTGCTGTTGAGCTAGGAGGGAGCAGAGCAAAGCTCCCACCCTGGTACCCACAAAGCCGCCTTATCTGGGATCGGGAGGTGCTGCTTTCAAGGGGACATTAGGGGTGGCTGATGCAATATTTCACTGCTGATGGCTGATGGAAACGCTGCTGTTTCAGTGCACGGCTTTGGAAACACTGCCAGGAGGAGGTTGGAAAGTCAACCTCACCTTGGGGAAGCTCCTCCAAGGGAAGGTAACCCATGGTGGGGTGCTAAGCAGCACCTGGTTCAAACCCTGCGGCTGAACACATGGGCCAGAGGTGAGGGAAATAGCTGAATACCCAGAAATAAAGGTATTTCGCATGAAAACAGCTCCTCCAGGAGCAGCTGCAGCCTCCCTGCCTTGGGGCCAGGGGGATTTTTGATTGCCTACCCTTTGATTGACCATGAAGATGCTCAGTGCTGTGTTTCCAACCACAGATACATGGGAATTCATTGAGAGCCAGACAGCTCTGAGGGGTTTGAGATGGTTTGGAAGATCCCAAATCCCAGCTTGCTCCCAACTAGCTGAAGGAAGCCCCCTCCAGCAGCCTTATCCCCCTGACGCGATGTCCCTGAGCATCACCAGCACCCAAGCAGCAGCTCTTCAACCCCATCTCCCTCCCCTGACCCCATCCCAAACTCACTCCTATTAGTCCCATACCCAGTTTGGGTGTAATAGGGACAACAGCTTTGGGAAAGGGAGGAAATGCTTCAGGAGACCATGACTTATCTCCCACCTCCTTGGAAGCGAGGAGACCCTGTGGATGGGCTCCAGACCTGTGGAGGATGAGCCCTCCTTGCAAGCACTTGGTTTTCCCACCCCTGCTGCCCTTCTGGCTGCTTTACAGACCCTTGGTCCCAACACTCACACCCTGCTGAGCCTTCAGACACCCAAGTTATCGCTGCTTTATGCAATTAGAGGCTTTTCCCCCACTCAAGCATGGTCCAGACCCACCACCACCCAACCAAGGCATCATGACAGAAGAACCCCAACCAGCACAGAAACTGCCGATCCTACCAGGTTACATCCCTCCTGATTCAAACAGATCATTCCTGTCCCTAATTAAAACAAGCCATTCCTGTCTCAAGCTCCATTTGTACAGAAGATAAATCTGCCTGGACATACTTGGGTGGGTTTTCTTTCCGCTTCGCGGCATAGATCACAGCAGACGAAGAGCATCCCTTTGCTAGGGCAGGAGGGGCACGGCCACTCTTGGTGTATCATCTGCTACCATCAGGCGATGGCGTCGTCTGGTTAAAGGTGTTTTGGGAAGAAGAAACAACCCCATCCACACGTGAGGTGTGAGCTGGGGCTTACCTGGTGATGATGGCGAGGTGCGGGGGGCTCATGCAGGCTCCCATGAAGAGCACCACGTTCTCGTGCCGGGTCTGCCGGTACGCCATCACCTCCCTCTTGAAGGCCTTGAGCTGGTCCTCGTTGTCCCGCTCGATGTCGATGAGGCGGATGGCCACCTCCCCGTGCCAGCGGCCGTGGAAGACCTGCCCGAAGCGGCCCTTGCCGATGAGCTCTCCGATCTCGAGCTGCTCGAAGGGGATGTCCCACTCCTGCAGGAAGATGCTGGTCTGGCTGGCCTTGCGCGGGAAGTTGCGCGCGGAGAGCAGCGAGAGGTTCATCTCTTCGAAGTCATCCTCGGACTCCTGCGCCTCCTCGGGGCCCTCTTCATTCTGCCGTGGGGTGAAGGGAGCGCGATAGAAACTGCACCCGTGGAAGATAACGATGGGCAACACCCCACTGACCCTCCTACTGCTTGTTCAAGACAACAAGGAACCAGGCAGGTCCCTTCCAAAGGCAACCGGGGGGGCAGAAACCCAGATTTACAGGGAGACATTTACCTACTCCAGGGTTAAATGTAAGAGCATTTAATTCATTCATCTGAAAGCAGTGCTTCATCCCACCATGGCCAAGCTGTGCTCTGCTAATACAACTGCTCCCACCCTGGCAGCCCTGGTCCGCACAGAAGGCACCCCAGGATGGATATGGCTTCTCCCTTCATCTCTTCCCTTAACTTTCCCCTTGGTTTTTTCCCTATATCTGTTTTCTACAGGAATTAAAGCACCCATTAAAAGCTGCATCCCCATCCTCAGCCCCTGCTCCTTCCCCTTCCCTGTATCTCAGAAAAGCTCACTGAGTTCTAAACCTGAGGGCAGACACGAAGCCCATGAGGGTCTCGCTTCATGGGGTGGGCACACGGATGCCTGGGCAGGGCCAGGCCTTGGCCATTAATTCAATCGTCAGCAATTTCACTGCACAGATGTTCAGCTTCTCTGTCTGCTGTGAAATGTGCCCCAAGACATGTATAAAATAAAGGTCTGCTGAGCACAGGAGCAGGTCCTGCTGTCTCACCTCCGAGGTGGGCTCCACTTCAATTTGAAGCAATGGGTTTCCTTCCAGGCTGTTAAAAGGATGATCGCGTTAGTGAGAACACAGATAGGTGGGGAGCACACGTGGGCATCGAGTCCTGCTTCCCACAGCATCACCGCACCGGGTCTAAAGGGATGTGGGGGGAGAAGAACCAAGCTCGTTGCTCATATGGGGGAACAGCCCCTTCCAACCCACACCCCGGATGTCTCCAAGCCCAAGGACAGCTCTGGGTGCTCACTGGGAGCAGGGAGGATGACAGGGATGAGCAACATTCATTACTGCATTAATTCATGCAGGATGTGTGAAGTTCCAGGGTGGATTTGGTGATGTGGGAGCATCATCTCCATCCCCCAAAGAGCACAGTGAGGAGGCTCCCTCACCACCACGTGCCCTGGGAGCTGTCACCACAGGCTAACCCAGGGGAAGGCACAGATTTGCCCCCTTGCAGCTTTTGCCCATATCAAGGCAGCCTGGGGCATGTGCTCACGGTGGTCTCCAAGGTCAGAACCACCTTCCCAACAAACACCAGCCAAAGCACAAGCGCAGCTGGTTGGACACCACAAGTGAAGAAAATGGGGTTTTCAGTCATCTTTGAGAGGTGGAGGTCTCAAAGATCCTCCCTGCTGTAAGAGCACCCACATTCATCGGGTTTCCCAGCTCCCCGGGCAAGGGCTCCTCTTCTTCACTTCCACAGCACCCCCCAGCACCGGGGTCTCACCGTGCCCAACAGTTAACAGGGGATTAGGGGAATTCTGTGGGGAAGATCAGCTGGAGCAGCTTGGGTGGTTTTGAGCATAATACAGGCTATTATGATCAATAACATAACCAACAGCATCCCTTCCCAGAAAGAGCAAGGATCACAGGAGAACCTGAACGCTCAGCGGTCCTGTGCATCCTCTCCCATTCAACAGCCACTAAAGAGCTATAAACCCCAGGAGGTGCATGGGTGCACACACAAAAGGAGTCAACTCTGGTATTTTAATCCGCATGGAAAACCCAGGGGATGCAGATGGCTTCTGCTGCCCATCACGATGCACGGGCGGCTGCAGGAGCAGCAGCTCCCTCCTCCTGCCTGCTCTTTAACGCAGGCACAAATACCTGTCTCCCGAGTATTGGAAGCAGAGGCTGGTGTTTAACCCAGCCAAGGCCAGGGTAAGCTCGGTGCCTCTGTCCTGACCATCCCATGGTTCTGTGATTTGCAGTGGGGTGAGCAAGAGGGGAATCGCTGATTTTATAAACTGAAAGCTATTTTCCCATAAAATCCTGCCAGCTCTACACCAAATACCTTGCAAAAAACACCCCAAAGGCCCCAAAAGGCTTTGAATTCACCACGTTGACATTAATTCCCCAGCTACCAGCAGCGACAGAGGCTCCATCCCCATCCCTCCCATTGCCTCCCCCAGAGGAGGCATCCACTGGACCCCTGGCAGTCGCCAGCGCAGTTTGGAGAGGATGGGGAAGCCAGACACAAACCACATCATAAACCTGGAGCAAGACCCTCTCTGTGAAACTGCTGGCTTGGAATAGCCTTCCAAAAGGGCATTTATCTAAAGGATCAGCAAGCAACAGTGAACTGAAACGTGGGGCACAGGCATGATGACCTTGGTGAGTGCTGGGATCAGCAGAGCAGCTCAGACTTGACCTGCCAGGGAGAGCTGGCCCTAACAGCAATGAGGTACTGCATTGCTGAGCTAACATCAGTGCAAAGTTTGTTGGACTTGAAGCCATCACAGGCAGGGCTGCAAGAACCATCTTTATTAAAACTGTCTCAAAGACCCTGGTTCCCTGCTTATCATTCCCCATAGAGTCATGGAATGGTTTGGGTTGGAAGGGACCTTAAAGCTCCTCCAGCTCCAACCCCTGTGTCCACCTTCCACTAGAGCAGCTTGCTCCAAGCCCCTGTGTCCAACCTGCCCTTGAACACTGCCAGGGATGGGGCAGCCACAGCTTCTCTGGGCACCCTGTGCCAGCGCCTCAGCACCCTCACAGGGAAGAGCTTCTGCCTCAGAGCTCAGCTCAGTCTCCCCTCGGGCAGGTTAAAGCCATTCCCCTTGGCCTGTCCCTACATCCCTTGTCCCAAGCCCCTCTCCAGCTTTCCTGCAGCCCCTTCAGGCACTGGAGCTGCTCTCAGGTCTCCCCTTCAGGAGCCTTCTCTTCTCCAGGCTGACCCAGCCCAGCTCTCTCAGCCTGGCTCCAGAGCAGAGCTGCTCCAGCCCTCGCAGCAGCTCCGTGGCCTCCTCTGCACTCGCTCCAACAGCTCCATGTTTAGTAAAAGATTCATCCCTTGGGCTTTGGTTTCTCAGACCAAAAGTCATTTCTATTCCTGATGGTGAAGCGCTGGGCACGTGCACTGCTGTGGTCATCAATCAGTCCCCTGCCCTTTCCTTTCAGCCGCTCTCCTCTGTGAGACACAAGCCAGAGCCGTGAGCTGGGTTAGGGCGGCAGGAGCATCCCTGACCACCCACCCCAACTGCCCAAAAGGCATCCCTGAGCCCAGTCTGCTCCTGTAGAACCAGGGGAGCACCCATGGGTGCCTGGAGGAGGCGTGGAGCAAAGGGTGCTCTGCGTGGGGAGGGGAAGGTGATGCTAAAGCAGGAGGAAGGGAGGCACTCACATGGGGTTGGAGTTGACGGGGTGGAGGATCACCTGCGGTGCTCGGGTCGGTGTCTCAGGGACCACATCTGGGGAGGAGAGAGCAGAATAAGAGCAGGTTGGAGGCACCAGGAGCCCCTTCAGTGCTGGAAACCTCCCTTCCTACAAGTCTGGAATGGTTTGGGGTTGGAAGGGTCCTTAAAGCTCAACTAAAGGGACCTTAAAGCTCATCCTTAGGTCCAATTTAATTACCCACTTAGCTATAGCTGGGTGTAACCCAAGGCCATCCAGCCCTGCAGTAATAGAGTGGTTTGGGGGAGAAATCCCACCCCAGCACAATCCCCTGCACACATCCAGGGGTTAGGAGAGCCAGCCATGCACCCAGCCTCCCAAAGGATAGCTCAGCGCCCTGTGCTCCAAGAGACTTACCTGGGAAAATGAACTGCTGCTTGTACTTGTAGTAATGGGAAGCTGGAAAAGAGAAAAGGGGAGTTAAACACCGGCCTGCAGAGGCAGACATTGGAGAAGCTCCAACCTGCACCACGGAACACCAGCCCTAAGTCCGGGTCCCCTCCATCCCCAACTCTCTGAAGGATGCAACCACGATGGCACGCAGGGTGCCAAATCAAGACTTGGCTCCCATCCAGCCTGCAGGAACCACTTGGCATCATGGAGACAATGAAAGGGTGCTCAGGCATTGGAACAGGCTGCCCAGGGCAGGGCTGCAGTCACCGGCCCTGCAAGTGTTCACACCCCGTGGAGATGAGGCCTCAGTGCCATGGGGCAGTGGTGGCCTTGGCAGTGCTGGATATGGTTGGACTGGATGATTGCAAAGCTCTTTTCCACCCCAGCTGATTCTGCCCCCTTTTGTCTGATCCAGCCCATCTAACTGTGCCTTTTGTGTGCATTTCTGCCATGCCGTGGAGCAGTGACCTTCCTGCCTGCTCCTGGTGCACTGGATGGTCCCCTGGGGACCACTGCCCAAAGCCAGTGCTGCAGGAGGGCTCTGGGCGCTGGTACCCTCCATTATCTCCCTAGCACCAGTAGGCAAAGCCCAAGAGCTGATTCGACTCCCGCAGGCAGGTCATGGGTATGAAGCAAGGCAGAGCTGCTGAGGCCACCCGAGGTTGGCACCAGCTCAGAAGGCACCTTCTCCTTAAGCTTCAAGACCCCAAAGGCTGTTCCTCAGCTTCAAGACCCTGAGGAGTGACCCCAGCTCTGCAGCAGGACCCCTGAGCTGGGATCAAAGGAGACCCAAAGGTAATTCTGGCAGAAGGAGGTCACCTTTTTGCACTTTCCAAGCTCAGATCCTAATCCCCAAGATGCCTGTTTTGATGAGATGAGCCATGGAGAGCATCCCGCAAGGGCAGATGAAAGCAGCGACTCCTGCTTTGTGTCACACCAGGTCCCGTTTGCCACAGGGCTCTGCTCATCACAGGCACGGAAGCAGGGAGCAGTGACCCCACTGAGCTGCTGGGGTCTGATCCTGCCCTGCTCCATTCCTGCTGGCTGGACAAGGAGCTCCCGGTGCTGTGGCAGTGGTGGCAGTGACAGCACGTCCATAAGGAGATGCTGCTGCCCACTATGGGGGTTGCTTCTGTGGTCTGTGCTTTAAACAACATGAAATAACATCTCAGGTGACCTGCAGGGAGGTGCCTGCTCCACAAGTGATGCACGATGGGGCCACCAGATGCTGGATCCTGTCTCTTCCCCCAGACCCAGGCAGGGTCCAGGGCTTGGGGTGTGAATCACTGCAAGCCTGGCTATCACACTGGGAAGACATCAGGATGCTTCTGCTCTGTCTGGAGCACCACGAACCCCGTTAAACTGGCACAGAACCCTTTGGGCAGGCATTCTGTAGAGCTCTCCCAGCACTTGGAGGAGCCTGACTTTGGGAGCAGGAGAAGGATCCGATTCCCTCCTTAACAGTTGGGTTCAACTGCTCCTTGGGTTGATCAGTGCTTCCTCACAGCTCCTCCACTGTCTTCCTCGTGCTCCTCCAGCATCCCAGGCACTCCAGAGACCTGTGCACAGCTGCAGCCTCTCCAGGTACGTGCTGTTTGCCCTCCTACTGGACCAGTTTGTTATCCTTGGAGGTTTAGGGATGCAGGACCCTCCGTGCTGCTGCCCCATCAAAGGGCACAGACCAAACAGGGGTCACCAGGCATGAGTGCTTCAGCATCTAGAGATGGGTCAGGGCCATGGCTGCCCTCCTCTTCCCTCACCAGGCCCTTTTGGGAAGGGCTGGAGGGGCAGACGGGTGGATGAGGACACCCAGCACTGCTAGGAGTGATGCTGAGACATTCCCTCCAAGAAGGGACCTTCCCTGGAGCAGCAGCACTGCACCAAGGACATCCCAAAGGCAGCAATGCTGGGTCAGCCTCTGCCACATCCTCAGGCTACAGGAGCCTCTTTATCCTTCTGAAGGAACTCCTACGTCCTGCAGCCAAATTGCCTCTTCCACCATTCCTGAAGAGACTGAGCTGCAGGAACAGATGGGTCCCAGGTACCCACACAAGACTCGATGGAACAAGCTATATCAGATACCCTCAGCATCAGCTACGCCCCACTATCACCCCACACACACTGCCATAAGCCTGTCACCCCAAAGACACAGTGAAACCAACCCGAGTTACCCTTGCAGAGGGGTAAGACCTTGTTTCCCATTTGCCGTTGAGGCAATAGGGGGGCACACACTTTCATGCCTGGAAAGGTTTCTGTAGCCTCAAGCACATCAGGTCACCCAGAGAGGCTGTGATGGCTCCATCCTTGGAGGTTTCAAGACCAAACTGCATCAAGCCTCCATCTCTGACCCTCCTCGAAGCAGGTTTGACTGAAGACTCCCAAGCTCCCTCCTGAATGATCCTAAACTCATCTTTGCTGCTCATTTCTGCTCCCAGCTTTTCCCCATCCCAGGGTGAGCCCAGAACGGGCATCACCCGGACCAGACCCTTATCCCAGGAGCAGATGCCGAGGGGAGGACACGGTACCTGGCAAGTTGAACTGCTTCTGCTGGCGCGGGCACTGCGGGGACGGGTGCAGGGGGGACGGAGGGGTCGCGCTGGGGGGCAGCGGTGGGGCTGGCGAGGAGGGTGTGGAGGAGGTGGTGGACGAGGGGTTGCTGCTGGAGTCTGGCTGGTAGGGCACCGGGATGTGGTCCTGCAGGACACGGGGAAGGAGAGAAGAGAGGAGTCAGTGGGAGCAGTGCACCCCGAGGTGCTCCGGTGCTGAGGAGCTGGGTGACAAGTGAGGGGTCACCCTACGCAGGTCATCCCAGTCCCCTATTTCCAAAAGCCCTAGAAAACAACCAGAGCCACAGCCTGGCCTTTCCCAAAGCTGTATTCACAGTGTGCACGAGAAATGGGGCTCCTTTGCAGCCCTTCCCTGCTGCGCACACACACTGAGGGCTCCCCAGTGCTGCTGGCTGGGGATGGCCACCAAGACCAGAGCTGGGGGCCACATCCCTGGGCTTGGTCCCTACAGGCATCGAGGAGCTGGTAGCTTCAGCTGACTTCCTTCAAGCCAAGTACCCAGTGCCTTGCTCAGAGCACTGAGGCGGAGCTAAGAGGATCAGCCAGCACATCCCAAGCCACTCCTTGCCCCTTATCAACCCTTCCTAATCAAGGCAAGGATGGCAGCTTCAGGTGTGCATCTGCAGGCTCACTGTGATGGGTGAGAAAGGACCAGCTGGGAGCAAACAGGGAGCAGAACCCACCTGGGTATCTTAGATCTGAGGAAGGAAAACTGAGGCCACCTTGCTGCCCAATGAGACACTTGATGGGGTCTGACCTTCAGCAGCACCAAGCACTCCCACCTCTCAACCCATAGCAAGATCCCTCCAAGGCTAGCAAACCTGCACCAGCCTCCCCCAGCCTGATTCATTTTAGATGAGCTGGGCTTTCCAGGAAAGCCACATTTATTCCATATAGACCATCCTGACACACAGGAGGATCGTGGGTAGATAAATCACTTTTTAAGCCAAAGCTGAAGGCCACTAAACAATCAGACGTCAATGGTATTCACAGAGAATGGAGTATCTCTATGGAAATGCTTTCAGAAACATCAAAGTAAGAAGTGGACCTTGTTGCATAAAGCGTATTCATAGAGGAGACTGTAACCAGAACGGGAGTGCTCAGGTTAAAACCGAATATAAATACATATATATATGATGTTGAGCATCATCAGGCTCTGGTTAGAGGAAAGCTAAGGTGAAAGGACTGCGTGACAGAGGCAGGAGAAAGAGGGCTGATGCCCTTCGCACCCAAAGCCTTTAGCAGAGCTGAGTCACTTCCCTGCTGCCCTCTCATAAATGAAACAAATCACTGGAAGAACAGGCACTAAGAGGGAAAATGCAGCTCTATTTCTTCTGGATACCTGCAGCAGCTCTTCAGCCTCAAAAAGCCATTTGCACCACCCCTTCACAGCCACAGAGCAGATCATTACTCATACACTAAGGATGTCCCAGGAGATTTAGGTTTATAAACTGCATCCTTAGAGCATCACCTGGTACCCAGCCTGTGCCGAGAGCCAGAGGATGCTGAGGAGCTGGGGATGCTGCCAGGCTGTGGGAAGCCAGGGTTTTCACATCCTCTTCCCCATCACAACAAGGATTTCCCTTGCTTTGAGTGCTTCCAGCCTGCAAACTCCTCACCCTGCTCTGCCTCCAGCAGCCCGTTGGGAATCTCCACTGAAGGCAAAAGAACCCATGCCAGGTCTACTGCTATTAATGCAGGGCAGGAGCAAGCCTGGTGCATGCTCAGGTCCAGCTTTGCCACTGACACAATCAAATTCCGGGCTTCTTTTATTTGTAACAATAAATCTGTCTCTTATGGAAGTCTCAGGTGGTAGCAGAGGCCTCAAACCACCCCGAAATCAGCTTAGATCTGGAGGCTGCAATGCAGCAAGAGCAGTGAGGGACAGGGTATTTTGAAGGTGCTGATCCCATTTGATATTGGAAAGAAATAACCTCAGCAGATGTAACCCACACTGGGAAACCCAAAGGAAACCATCACGGCTCATCCTGCCTCCACACCAAGCACACCCTTGCTTTGCTCCTTGAATCCATGGGATCATTCTTGTTTTAAGGCCCCAGGCAGGTTTCTAGGCAGCACCTACCCATACAGCCCCATAGCAGTGGATGCTCATGGAGACCCACGGAGACACCTACAAAGCCTGGTCCTGGCAGATGGTTATGGGGCTGGAAGATGCCCCATCCTGGAGACAACCCACCAGTCCCCTCCTGCCCCAACCACAAGGTCAGGGCATGGTCCCTTTTGCTCTTAAATTCCTCCCTTTAGGAATTACTCTGCAAGCTGTGCTCCCACCAAGCCAACAGGATTGATGCTCCCAAAGGATGTGCCCTGGGAAAGCTGTGGCTCCTCATGCAGGGAACATCCCTGTTGGGAAACAGGGTGGCAAAGCCTGAGCTGGGCTGCTCAGAGCATCCCTCGTCTGCAGGAGCAGCAGCTGCATGCACAGAAGCACCAAAAGCTGCAGGTATTTGAACAACCTGGGGCTGGACCCAGCGCTGGGGGCTCACCTTGTTGAGTTTGTTGGTTTTGGGGAGCGTTTGGCTGACGTGCAGGTCCGAAAACCGGGGGGGTTTGCGCAAGGGGTTGTTGATATCGCAGGGCACCGACTCTGTCCGGACTAACCTTGCTGGATTAAGAAGGGAGAGAGGGGAGAAGGGGATGGAGAGGAGGGGGAGAGAGATGGAGACACATCAAAGCTCCAAAGGGGCACGTTGAGGTCACCCTGTGCTTGCAAACTGCTATTGAATCGCTCTCCAAAGCAAGCCCCAGCAGCACCTTCCAGCTGCTGCGGATGAGCCCCAGGACCAGCCTTTGGGCTCCCCCCCTGCACCCAGGATGGAACCAAACCCCACCAGGACATGGGGGGCTTAAAGCCCCTGGTGTCAGGATGCAAACTGCACCCTTCTCGCCCTGCTAAGGGGCTGCAGTCTGGGAGGCTCAGCACCTGCCACAGCCACCCTGTCCTGAAGAGCATCAGGAGGAGGCACCATCCTCTTCCTCGTTGCGGTTCATTGGGATGAGGGGAAGGAGCTGGCTCAGAGCATCCTGCTCTCAGCAGGGAGATTCTGGTGGGGAGCAAAGCCAGCCTCCAGCTTGGGGGACTCAGGAAGGGGCTGGCTGCAAGGCATTATATTTAAGAGCTTGTTTTGGTGGGGGCCATCTCACTGATGCTGAGGCCACCCTAAAGCCACGCTGCTCCTTGCTCTCACGCTAAAACACACAGCGGGCATCTCTGCCCCTTGCAGCATTGCAGGCTGTAATTCCTGCCCATCCCAGCATGTAGGATGCTGCTTTCCCTGCCTCCTGGTCAGGGTTTGCAGCGGCTCAGAGCATGACACGGAGGTCTTCAACCTAAATCTGCCACAAGCAAGGGCATGGGCGCCGGAGCAGAGGCTGCAAAATTGCCCCTCTCTGAGCCACAGCATCCCCACTCTCCCTGCAAGGTGCCACCAGCGCGATGCATCTCCCCATAATTAAAGCAAGGAGCGCGTTTGTGGTGGTGTTGAACACAGAGCAGCAGCCTCAAGAGCTCAGAATTGAAGGCAATGGAAAGCGGAAGCGTTTCCCTTAGGTGGTCACAGTCCTTTGGCCGCTGGGGAGCCAAAAATCTGGAAGAAAAGAGGTGGGAAGCGGCGCCCGTCGTCCTGCTGCAAAGTTCTCCCTCCTCCGCGGGGTTAGGACGGGCTCTCCGGGAGAAGAGCGGGGTAAAGCAGCTCCAAAAGCACCGCGAGCATCCGCAGGGCCACATCCCCGTGGCGGGGACCCCCATGCACCGAGATGCCGCGTCCGCCCTAAGCTCTGAACGGTAGCGAAAGGCTAAAACCTGTTGCACTTACCCCGTGCCGTGGGGAATCTGAAAAGAAAAGGAGGCAGGGGAAGGGTGGGTGGAAGTGGTTTGCAATGCAAATCTGCCTCGCCCCGCACGGCTCGTCTCCCTACAAGCGGAAAAAACGGTGGGTAACGTCTCCACGGAGAGCCCGAGCGGTTCGGGAGCCTCCGGCACAGCAAGGAGCAGGCTCCCGAATCGCCCGGGGGGCTGCTGGGATGTTTTACCCGCTGGCAGCGTCCACGGAGGCAGAAGGAAGAAGGAAGGTCCTTACCTCCGCGGTGGATGATCAGCAGGTGACACGGAGGGGCCTCTTTGGTGCATTTGTTGTGGCACTTGAGCCTAGCGGGGAGCAGAGGAAAAGGTGTGAGGAGAGAGGGATCGAGGAGCATCGTGGCACGGGCAGAGGGATGCGGGTGGGAGCAGGGAGCATCGCTGCGGATCAAGGAGCATTTCTGCACCCGGGAAGGTGACTTGGTGCTGTGCACAGCCCCTGGGTGTCCGCTCCCATGGGCGAACCTTGTCAGATCCCTGCAGCTTGCCCTCAGGAATAGCCACTGTTCCCAAGCAGCCTCCCAGGCTGCAGGCGCAGGGGTAAGAAGTGGTCCAGGGTGCAAGTCTTGATGCATCAAGGGGGTTGGCTGGGAGGATGCAGAGGCAAATGAGAGCCATGACAAGTGCATCAGTCCCGATGGAGGGATGCAGGAGCCCCCAAACCCGGGGTGCTGCTCAGCTCCAGGGGCACCAGGCACCCAGCACTTATCTTGAGGATACCCAGTATTGTCACTTGTGCCAGGCTTGGCTGAAAGAGCAGGAGCAGAGACCTGAGCTCTGGGGAAAGCCCTGACCACCATCCACTAACTCTGCTTTCTGCTTAAATTGCAGGGGCAACAGAGGGGGAGGAAGAGACTGCCCCGGCCCCTTTGGCTCCCAGTGAATCCCTGCCATTGCGCCCTCCTCTCCTCACTTTAATACCAGGACATTTAACAACGACAGCATTTATGACCAGGTTGAATATTCTGCAGGAGTCTGTGGAGGTCTTCACCCCTGAGTCATGCATAGAGGCATGAGCTGGCTCCTGCCTCTCCCAAACCTGCTTTAATAAGGGATGGAAAAGAGTCTCTGGCTCCTGCTCTACCCCAGTGAAGGGGAGGGAGCCACGGGGGAAGAGGCAAAAAGGAGGCAAGGACTGAAAAAAAACAAGGGTAAAGGATGAAAAAAGACTGCAGCTCCAAGTCAATGAGCTGGGTAATGAAAATTCAGGAACTGTGCATGTTAGCTTTTATTACAGAACCATTCCTAGAGGGAAAGGCAGAGATTAATTTGCTATTGGAGGCTTGGGGGGGGGGGGTTCGGGTCTGTTTGTTTGCTTTTCCTGCTTGTTTCCCTCCTGTTCCTAGGGAAAGCTGGGGAACCTGAGTACTTCCGTTCCCTCTAACTTCTTACAGCCAGGGAACTGGTTTGCTTCTTTCCTGAGTGACTGCAGGCAGCAGGATCAACCCAGAGCCAGAGCATCACAGGGACAGGTCCTGCATCCCTCCTGCATGGGGACCAGCCCTGGGCAGGCAGAGCAGGCAGGCAGCAAAGCCTCCGGTTGCTTGAGCATTGAATGCAATCGGAATCCCCACTTTAATATCTATGTATTTGATAATATCACTTCCAGAAAGCCACCGTCAGCTGCAGAGTAATGGGGCATTTCTTATCCACATTTTAATCCCAATTTGCTAATTCATCAGCATTTAATCAATAGCAACAGCGATCGTTATCACTTCATAGCTCCAGCTAACTCAGTTACTCACGGTCAATCAGCTTATTCCCAGCACTCATCCCTAGGAAAGGCAATCCTGTCTCCAGGAGCAGCTTTTCTAAGTGCTGATGGCTGCATGATACCGTGTAAGAGCTGGGCTCTGCCACGCTGGGATTTAAAGCAGTAGAAGTGGCCTCTGCACCTCACTCTTTATCCAGCCCTATCCAATTTTCCAGCCCTATCCAACTTCACAGCCAGCACAGCCTCTCTGTTACTTTATTGTTGTTTGGGGTGGGTTGGCTCCTTGGTGCCATGACAGTGCCAGGAAACAGAGGCCCCCAAGCCTTTTGCTGCTGCAAGAAAATCGAGGATACAGCTCCAGGCTGTGGGTGAAACCCATTTGATGCCCAGAGCTACCCTTGATGCTCTCGACCAAGCTGCTGTCAGCCCCTGGTCCAGCACGTCCCTCCCATTCTCTCCTGTAGATAACTTCACAGGTAACCCTATAACATGGGTGTCTAAAGCCAGACCAAGGATGGAGGTGAGCAGGGAGGCTCTCAGGATCCTACTCGGAGCTCTGGAGCTGAGGTCTGGTGGGCAGCATCCTCCCCAGGGACCCCGCTGCCATCCCCAGCACCCAACCTCAGCCCTGTTTTAGGGTGATCTTCACCCAATTTCATGCCTCATTACAGCATCCTATGAGGATGAGCTGGAGAGAGGCTGGTTGCTTTCCCCATGCCTGTGCCCCTGCTTGGCTGCAGCAGTAAAACCCCAGTGATCCCCATCCCAACAGGAAGGAGCAGCCCCACAGCTCCAGCCCCACACCGTACTTGCAGTTCTTGCATTTTAAGCCGAACAACATTCCTTTACCGCAGACGGTGCAGGTCTGAGACATCCAGTACTTGGTGGAAAACCTGGGGAGAGGGACACAGAGAGTGGCCAGAGAGAGAAGCAGCTGAACCACCCCATCTGTGCTCCTGCAGGAGCAGCTCCCAAGCCTCCCTTAACTCCCGAGCCCTGGTTTATCCTTTCCTGGCTGCCTTTGTGGGTGTTGAGGCATCATTCTAGGGGTGCCAAAGCACAAATCTGAGCTCCCCCTTGCGCAGAAGGGAGACCAAACTGGGCATTAGGCACTGGTTGGGTGCAGCTCCCCATCTCTGCCTTGGCCAGAGCCCCCAAAACACCTCCTTGCCCTGGGACCCCAAGGTTCCAGTCCATTGGAGAAGCTTCTGCCCTATTGAATAGCAGAACCAAAGCTATTTCTAGAACTTCTCCTCCTTGAGGTAGATATGGAAGGGCAATAATCCAGAGATGGGAAATGTGCTGAAGGTTGGCAAGGTCATGGATAATACATGACTTATTGACAGCAGCTCCAGCCTTATCTAAACCAGATCTGAACTGAGATGGAATTTAAATGGGCTACTAGGGCAGCACTGCCCAGCATAGGAAACTGGGGGAACAGCCCCGAGTCCCCCCTCCTGGACCAGGGATAGAAAGGAAGACGTTCCTTGCTGGCACTGGGGGATTCACTGGTTGGGTACCTGTGTTTGATGGAGTTTCCTAGATCTCGACGGGGGATCTGCGGGGACCAGCGAGGCACTGACAGCGTATCTGCAGGAGAGGAGAGACAAGCAAAACCATCAGGTGGTGACAAGGGGGGCAGCCAGGGTTCCGGCTTTGTGCGAGGGGAGCAAAGGATGTGCACCAAAAAGAGGGGTTTGCCCAATATTTCCCCTTAGACATGATCCCTTTCTGGAAAGCAAGAGGTCTCTGCCCTTGTGCTTGGGTCTCCAGGGTACTGGAGTCTCCTGCTCCCCCCATCATAACCCCCAGCACCCACTTTGGGCCAAAGAGAGAGGCGCGGGGTGATGCACCCACCCCATGGGTGCTGCACCCATGTGCACACAGAGAGGGGTTGCAAAGCTACCGGAGCCACATTGCGATGTCCAAACAAGAAAGGGAAAACGAAGCTGAAGCTGCATCCTTTATTAATGAGCCACCACTTGTGGTCGCGGCTGAATAAAGGCCATTTAACTGGGCTTCAAGGAGAAGAGCAGAGTGAAAAGCAGCCTCAGCACTCTCCTAAGGGAAAGAGGGAGGGAGAAAGAGTAGCAGGACCCTGGCTGGGTAAGGAAGAAGAGAGAAGTTCATTAATGCCCGCTGGAGCAGGCACAGCCATGCTCGGTCTCCGCATCCCCCTTCAGCCTCAGCAAGGGCACAGACCCTGCTCCTCCTCCTCTGCCACAGGAGAGGTGCTGCCCGCAGTGGAGCTGTGCCAGGGATTCAGAGGCTGGATGGATGGATGTTCAATAAGGGCTTCCAGAGGTTTCCCGGGCACCAGCGACCAGCCCCATCACGGATCCGAGCCCGGCCGTTTGCTCAGCACGCCGGCAAATCCCTCACTAAACACACTTCCAATATCATCCCTGCGAGCGGGGAGAGCCGCTGTTTGCTTTAATATCCCCTTTTAATATAGCGGGCGGCGCGGTGCTTTAATTGCACTTCCCTTTCTGAAGGTTACATTTACATCCCCCTTCCATGCAACGCCGTTAAAAGCCTTGGGAGCACCCTAAACCACATCCATCCCCTGCACCTCCCTTCTCTTACTCCACCACCTCATCCCGCTCATCCCTCAGGCAGAGCTGGCAATGAAGATGTTGAAGGGCTGCGAAGTCAATTAAGGTAATTGCTGCCCCCAGCCCCACGGTGGCTGTTTTACACATGCCAATATTCCTGACCACGCTTCTCACCACCTCCTGAGCCCGCATCCCTCCCTGTACCATCTGCAGCCCCCTGGGGGTGTCCACCAGCCCCGGAGATGATGCTCTGAGGACTGGGACCGCTCCACACGCAAGCACATCCCTCCCGCAACATCATTTTCTCATCAGTGAATCACATCAGACAAGTGAGTCCCCGTTGCCCATCCCCAACGCTGGTCCTCGATGAACTGAACACCTGGACAAGAGCAGCTCCTCTCCCAGAATGAAATCACATCCTCTGCTTTACCAGCCACAATTTATTTCCACTAAGGTTCTGATGGCCTCAATTAAATCCTGCCATCCCGGCGAGGAGGAGAAGGGACGTAGGCAAAAGCATCTGAGCCTTTTAATTACTTTCTAAATGGGCTCGCTGCAAAAATGTATTAAAGTGTATCAGGGATTTTAACCTCCTACCAGAAATGAGCCCTACGTGATTCACAGCTCATTACGCTCATTAGAGGGAACGATACATGGAGGATCGTGGTGTTTAACAATAGACCTGCTCATTGTAGGAGAGAAAACAAGCAAAACAGGGCAGGAGGGAGGGAACAGCCCCCAGGGCTCGGGGGGGGGGGGAGGCTTTGAAGCTCATTGGTGATTCTCCCTTCAACTTGCACATGTGAGATTCCCACCCAAAGGAAAAGCTGGTCCTCCCCGGGCAATAGGGAATCAGGGTGATGCCCAAAGGGAAGGTGGGAATGCAGCAGCCTCCCAGCCAGCACAGGGGGAATGTTCTCAAAAATCCACATTTGCCACAATTAGATGTAAATGCAAGGAAAAGCCCTTCATAGGCTCAGGATCACGTCCTGCTGCCAGGCGGGGGGCTTGGCTTTGTCACAAGGACCCTATGATGGAGAAGGGCCAGACCCAAGGATGAGCTCGTCCTCGTGAGCTCTGAAGCATGACAGCCCATTCCCCACCTCCCTCCCTCCTCCTGCTGCCAGCAGCTCAGCACCCCACGCAATGACCATGAGCAACTGATGCTTCCCGACCTCCCTGCCCACGTGTCAGTCATTACTCACACGTTTATCACCATCAGCCTCCTTTATGGCTCGAGAATCAGGCCTCTCTCAGCCATCATTCCCCTCGCACACATGTGTGAGGGCTGGTTTAGGATGGTTTTCCCCTTCTCTCCTCTTCCAAGACGGAAATTAATGGGCACGGGTGTGATTTCCCACGGTAGAAAGCAGCTGGTACCCATTGAGCACCCAACAGGGCCAAGCACCGTCCCTTTCCCACCTCCCCATCACCTAGAGGCACCCTCAAAAGCTAAACCCTGCTCCTCAGTGGAGCAGTCCTACCCAGCACATTGATCCCCATAGAGCACCCAATGCCAGGGGATACCACCCAGGCACCCCACAACCTCCACTGCTTTCCTTCCCCACAGCATCCCGCCGGCAAGGGTCAGGGCTCCTGCACAGCCCAGCCTTGAGTCAACAGCCCACGCCTGACGGGATCAAGGGAGACAGAGAAGGGGGGAAGCGCCCGGACCGGGGGTGACAGCCGCCTCCGGCACGTCGGTGACAGCAGACACGGAGAGGAGCCCGGCTCGCCGCGGTGACAGGCAGCGGTGACAGGCACCACCGGTCCATGAGTGGCACCCGCGCGCCTCGGAGGTGACAGGGACCTTGGCCGTGACGCTCTCCTCGCCCCCGCTGCCATCCCGGGTGTGGATGTTCCCCCTTCGCTCCCTGTCTGTGGGATGCCTGGGAAGAGAAGAGCAGCCAGAGCTCCCTTGGTGCTTTGGGTTTGGGTTTCCACCCTCCCTTGGGGCACATCAGGAGGGCAGTGATACCCCCAGCCCCAACACTGAATACACCAGGGGCATCACCCGGGGCTGGGTCGTGCCAAACCACACCGATGGGGACGGTGCTTTGGCACGATATTGCCCTCCTTCATTTCCTGGCACCTTTCTGGATGCCCAGGGAATTGGTGTGAATGTGTTATCCATCACGGAGACAGCCCCATAAACAAACCCTCCTCCTCCTACTACAACAAACAGCGTCAGGCGATGCTCGCATTATGAATGGGACGGATAAAATCGATGGAAGTGCACTTGGAAAGCATCCCGGGATGAATCACCGCAAGGCTGAGGGACAGCCAGGAGACTTTACGCTGGTCTGTAGACGTCCTACAGACCCGCATCCATCCTGAGCAGCCACCAAAACACTCCAGGCACCAGCCCCAGTGTGTTTAAGTCCCCCAGAGAGATTATGGGGTGACACCGGGTGAAGCCTCCTCCCAGAACAGCTCAACAATCCCATGGAAGACGACCACGACAGGGACGGTGTCAGGTGTATCTACCACAGCACACCCAGGCAGAAACAGCAGCCCTGGGCCATATGATGGGGAAGGATGCTGGCAGAGATTCATTGAATCAGCCTGGTTTGAAGGGACCTTAAAGCTCATCCAGTCCCTCCATAAGACACCCCAGTCCTCACCCGAGCTGGCTTTAGGGCCAAACTAGGAGGGAAGAGATCCCCGAAGAGCTCAGCTGCAGCAGCAAGGAAACTGCAGCACTGCTCAGGGCAGCAGCTTCCCCTCCCCATGCCACAGAATCAGAATCAACCAGGTGGGAAAAGCCCTTTAAGCTCATCCAGTCCAACCCCAGCACTGCCAAGGTCACCACTAACCCATGGCACCGCCAGCCTCGTCTACACGGGGTGTGAACACTCCCAGGGACCACGTAGGATTCAACCTGAAGCAGGAGCCAAACCTGCCCGTGGCAAACATCCTGCACACAATCCCAGCCCTGCAGTGTCCCTGCTGTGGAGGGAGGGATGGATGACCCTGTGCAGTGGGATCACCCGCAGCAGCCGATGGCAGCAGAGCTATTTGCAGAGCAGCTCTTGTAAGAAGAGTCACCTTACAACCCCGCAGCCCCTCTTTGCAGTGTGACAACCCTGTTTATACAGCTGAAATGTCACATTCAGCCACTTTGCTGCCTCAAAGACTCATTGGGATTTCCTACCCCAGTCCATAGCCCTGCAGGAATCGGCTTTACCCATTCAAAGCTGGGTTCTCCAGCTCCACACAGCACTGCTGGCACAGGAAACCCTCCCATTGCCTGATGGCAAAGCAGCCAGCTGTGGCCAGATGTGGGCTGCAGGGAGCTCCCAGCTGGGCTGCCAGCATGTATGGCTGCAGGGCAGGTTCAGGGAGAAGGGCACTGATGGTCACAGAGAAATGATGGCCCCCTTGGGAAGTCCCCTGTGAAGGAGATTGGGCTGGAACAGGGTTAAGGAGAAAGGGTTAGGAAGGACCTTAAAGCTCCTCCAGCTCCAACCCCTGCCACGGGCAGGGACCCCTTCCACTAGAGCAGCTTGCTCCAAGCCCCTGTGTCCAACCTGGCCTTGAACACTGCCAGGGATGGGGCAGCCACAGCTTCTCTGGGCACCCTGTGCCAGCGCCTCAGCACCCTCACAGGGAAGAATTTGTGCCTGTGATCTAACCCAAATGTTGGCCCATTCTGGAGAACACCAAGCAGGGGACCTGCTCTGGATGCACACGGTGACAGTGGCTGGATTTGCAGCAGAGGGACAGGCAGAGGAAAGCAATGCCAACCAGCTCCAGGACACCCAGGTAACAGAGACACAAACACGACCTGCTCGACATGAGCCTTTACAGTCAAAAGGAGAAGATCCAACCTGATTTCTGGTGCCTGTAGCCAGGTCACGGGGTGTTGAATCCTAAATCCTGTTTCCAAGTAACAACACGTCTCTGGTGGTCACTTGTTCACTGTGAGGGACCAGGTGCACCAAGAGAGGGGCCTGGATGCAGCCAGACAAAGCATCTTCTGTCCCTCAGCCATGGGCTACTCCATGGCCAAGCTGGAGCTCAAGAGCACCCCAAGATCACCCCAGCATCCCAAATTCACAGGGATCCTGGCCCTGCGTGGAGAGGACTTTACCCCTCCAGCTGGATTTGTGCTGCAGGAGAAAGATGCTCCTTCACAGCATCTTCCAGCCCCCATGCCCTTGCTGTGGCAATCAGCTCCCATCAGGGCAAAGTGGCTGTTAAAAACAAGCGAGAGGCATCCAAACCCGCATCCGAGTGGGACCAAAGGTGATGCAGATGGGAGCATGCTCCTGCCACAAGCAGCAAGACACGCTGCCTGTTGTAAAGAGATCACTGAGAGACAGCCAGGGAGAGAAGGGTCTGGCCAAGGGCTCGCTGGGCTCCTCTTCTGCATCTCAATCCATCAACGACAATAGTTTGCTCTTTCAGTGCTTACGGAAGTCATTCCACATCAATCCAGTGCATACCTGGTGATGCCAGGCTGATCCCACCACGGAAAAAGGGAAGGGGCATTTTGCTGTTGGGGTTTTATAAAGGTTTAGGTACCCATGGTCATAGGGATGGGATATGAGGGAGCAGCCTTCCAGTATCTGAAGGGGGCTACAAGGATGCTGGAGAGGGACTCTTCGTCAGGGACTGTAGCAATAGGAAAAGGGGTGATGGGTTCAGACTGAAACAGGTGAAGGTCAGGTTAGATCTAAGGAAGAAGGATGTGCCAGTCTTCCTACAGGGTCACAAACCAGAAAGCAACCATGGAAGCAGACAGAAAGCCGGGATGCAGCTCCAGGACAAGGCCATCAGTACAGAATGATGCAGAAATACAAGAGAGGTAGAAAAAAAACCATTGTTTTTTGGCCTTCCCTCCTATTTTCCCCACAAGTCCCTGGGATTAAGGGTCAGTGAGTGGATGGATGCTGAACCTGCCAGGACCAAATGGTTTCAGTGATGCTAAAACCTCTCCATGGAGATCAACGTCTCATATCTAGCCCACATAACAAACATGTACAGCAGCCAAGAAAGGTAGAGAGCCGAGGGAAATGCAAAGAGACACCTTTCCAGCAGGGCTAGTCACTTGATAGCCCATCACTTCTCATCGCATCCCGTTCCTGTCGTGCCACCGTGCCACATTCCATCAGGTTATGACACCGCGGGATGTAACCCAACCCAATGCAACAAGACACGGTGGGGGGCTGTTGAGAACAGGTCTCGTTTCTTGGTTTCTGCTCTGCTCATCTCCTTCCTTGCAGGCTGAACTCAGCTGATGCCACAGGGAAAGAGCAGTGGAAAAACACCCCTTGCTCCAGGCAAACCCGCTGAGAGCCGGGTCCATGGACATCCCCAGATGCCCACAGAGCTCCTGACAGGTCCCACTGTCCCCAAAGCCAAAGAAAGGGGTGCAAAAGGATGCCAGAAATGGCTCAGTGAGACTTCAATGACCCCAAACAGCAGCTGGTTGGTGTAAACCAAAGACAGAGAGGAAGAAACTGGAAGGGGTTTCCCTTGCAGAGGGGTCCTGGTGCTGCGTCCCACTCTCGTGTGGGGTCAGCGAGAGGAAAACCTGCTGGTGCCGGGGGGCTGGATGGGCAGGGAGGGATGCTCCCTGTAAACCCCTTCTTCAGCCAAGAGCCATGCAGTAAAACCACTGGAAGAACCCAAACTGAGCCAGGATGACCACGCTTTGGGAAAGCAAAGGAGGGAAAGTCTGGGATGGGGAATGTGGCAGAAACCCAGCATGGCTGTGGAGCTGGAGGAAGTTTTCAGTTGAGCAATGGAAGCAAAGGGAGCTCTTGGCATGCAAATCACTCCCAGCAGCTGCCACACGGCTTCTGGGAGGGTTTTGTTTGGTCTGAGAGCTTGTGAAAGCTTCAGTTCCTGCAGGATCCACCAAGCGCTGCTCCGAGGCTGGGGAATAAGGGCCCGGTTGGTTCTCCCCAGCCAGCAGCAATGCCCTGCATGAGCACATTGATTCAAACCCACCCATTGGGTCCCACCAAGGGCAAACCCCATCAGGCAGACCCACAGGCAGGATTGGGGCTGGATGCTGGGATCAGGCTCCGTGGGGTTTGCACCAGACCTGTCTGCATTGGGGCTGCCTTCATCCAACACTCATCTCTTTGGCTCAAAACCCCACGTGCAGGAGAAAACAACATGGAAAAGGAGGAAAGCAGCCTCCTGGCACGAAGGTAAAACCACTGCTGGATTTACAATGGAACCCATGGAAAAGTCACTCTCAGTGACAACCAGTGTCACCAAGCAATGGGAAGGCTCATGGCTTCTCCAAACGACAGCAGTCACCCTCCTGCACCCATGGCGTTGCGATGGGGGAGCAGCTCTGATGGCATAAATCAATATTCGATGTGACAACGGGGCTGTACATGGATTTCATCAAGTTTCCAGGCTTATAGTTGCCCAGAAGCACCCACGTATCTCCAACCACTGCTGTGAGGCACCTGCACATCACTCAACCAACATCCTCCATCGGCCACCGGAGACACCCTGCGCTTCCCACAACCACATCCTCTGCTTGGCATCACCCCTCACCCACCCCATAGAAGGGGGCCTTGGACTTACTTGCTGAGAAGGTGGCTTCGGTGTGGACGGGAGGGGTGGAGGGCAGGAAAGGTGGGTACCCCACGAAGAAGGAGCGGAGGGAGCGCTCGGAGAGGAGCGGGGAGCGCTGCGCGGGGATGTTCTCGCAGCTCCCCACGCTGTTGTGGATCTTGAGGTTCAAGGGCTTGTTCTTCTTCTTGACTCTGCAAGGAAAAGGGAGAAAGAAAGGAGAGAAAAGTGAAGGGCAAGGAAGTGGGCAGGGAGAAAGAGCGATGCACCAAGGGACTGGTACCTCTAGGATGGCTGCTCATGTGGAAATGCTGCTCTGCCCTGTGAGCTTGTGTGATAATCAAACCCATTTCCCTACAGGAACTTCCATCCCTCCTCATCGTCACAAAAAGGCAGTTTTCATTAAGGAACACGAGAGTTTTTCTTCTTGCAAGATCTGGATGGAAAGGGGCAGTTGGTCCAAAAGCCCCATCACCACCAGCCTTATCCATCCCCCAAATCACCTACTGCCTGCAGCCCTTCACAGCGGTCACCCCTCAGTGCCTCATGCCCAGAGATGGCCAACACAAACCTGCCGGAGCCCCACTGATGGTCAAAAGGTGGGGTTGTGCTCTGAGTCCTTGAACATCGTTGCACGAGACCCCAGGTAACTGCCTTGTCCCGTTAGGGACCAAGAGGGCTGGATGTGGTGCTGTGCCCATCACAGCTCCTCTTTATAGCAGCTCAGAGGCTGCCAGCCTGGGTCTCCAAGGCTCATCCGCATCCCAAAACAGTGGCAAAGGGGGGAAACTGAGGCATGGAGAGATGATGGAGCAGATTCAAGCTGCTCATTACAGCACCTCGAAAGGACTTAGGCACTCGCAGTGCTGCTAAACTGGAAAGATGCTGCTCTCTGTGCATCATAGCAGTGCTGGTCCCAGCTCCTTCCCGCTAGGAGCAAGGCACCCAGATCACCAGCATGCTATAGAACCAGCTCCAATTCTATGGTCATTTAAAGTCACCTACATCCATTTCAGGGCCCAAGCAGGGGAGCAGAGTACAGCTGAGGGGTCACTGCAACAGAGCAATCCAGGCAGGGTTAACACTGTGAGCAGCCCCAGCAGAAAGCCCAGGAGCAGCTCACCAGGGCACAGGACCATGGGGCAGACAACCCGAAGCACCAGGGGGTGTTCATGGGAGCAGGGGGGGGATGAGACCCACAGCTCCCATTTATCAGCCCATTCTTCCAGCTGCCTTGTGCTGTGACAAGGACCAGCATCACTTCAGTGGCTCAGAGGGGCCCAAAGCAGCACACAAACCAAAGGGTTTGCAATGCAGAGCGATGCCGACAGCTTGAAGAGCTGGGCTGCAGGTTCCTGGCTCTGCTCTGCCTCTCTGGCTCGGCCATGCCCAGCCTGGCCACGCTGCGACAGTGTGAGGTGGAGAGGAGCAGCATCTGCCCTGCTCAAAGCAGGCTGAGGGAAGGGCAGCTCAGTCCCACTGGAGATCCGGAGGATTTGGGGCAGAGATCCCCAATCTGAGCAGGGGGTGGGCAGTGCGACAGCTCACGGGCATCATGGAGCTGGAGGTGGTTTCCTTGCAGGTGATGCAGTCAGCACTGATGTACAACTGAATCACAGCCTCTAATGCAACCCCTGCCTTTGATTCCAGAGGGCTGGAGCAGCTCTGCTCTGGAGCCAGGCTGAGAGAGCTGGGCTGGGTCAGCCTGGAGAAGAGAAGGCTCCTGAAGGGGAGACCTGAGAGCAGCTCCAGTGCCTGAAGGGGCTGCAGGAAAGCTGGAGAGGGGCTTGGGACAAGGGATGTAGGGACAGGCCAAGGGGAATGGCTTTAACCTGCCAGAGGGGAAAGCAGCTGCTTTCCTGAACACTTCCACACTCATTCCCAGCACAGGGTCCTGCTCAGCTGCCATCGTTCCAGCACCACTGACCAGAGCTCAGACACCACAGGAGAACCATCCTGCCTGGGGCCACGCATCTCCCACTGCCCTGGGTCCAGCAGCACCCATGGGCATCCGGCCAGGCCAGCAGATAGGAAATGACTGCAGCAGCTTCAGCAGAGGAAAATTAAACCACCCTTTAATAAGTTAATTGTTTCCTCACACAGGAAAAGCTGCTGCTGCCTTTGGGGTGGCTGCAACGACTTCTTTGGGTGTGCTGGGCATGGGACCATAGAATGAATCACAGAATCCCAGCCTGGTTTGGGTGGGAAGGGACCTTAAAGCTCCTCCAGCTCCAACCCCTTCCACTAGAGCAGCTTGCTCCAAGCTCCTGTGTCCAACCTTGGGATGGGGCTGATGGACCAGCCAGGTCCAACAGAACAACCCTTTCTTAGAGCCCATCGGGGTCCAATGCACCAGCAGCCCCATAGATGATGCTTTCCATGCCTTACCAGGGGGAATCTAAGTCCTAAACCCCAAGTCCTTATAGCAAACCTGCCAGCCACCATTGTGAGAAGAAGCCCCAGAGCCAGACCAACCCCTCCATCACTGTCACTTGATTCCATCCCAGTGCCATGACCACAGCATCTCCCCCAGCACATGCATGGCCCCAGCTCGGCCCCAGCACCCATCCTATAGCGCTTCCTGAAACGCACTGATTAGCCACTAATTCCATTTTTCCCACCCATAAATCAGTTCCAGAGCAAATATTTACCACGAGCATCATTTCCGCGCCAAGCAGGGCTGTGAGAGCTCTCGTTGTTCGGAAGGATGACTGATTTTGGAGGGATCTTTCTCTCTCCCTATTCCTTCAGGAATGAAAAATGAATTCAGAAATACACACAACCCCCATGAGCCAACCAGCTGAGGGTTGGCCACTCAATGGCCTTGACCCCTCTTCCCTGGTCCATGGGCAAGCCCTTGGCTGGGGTGTAGAGGATGTGGGCAGTGGGTGTCCCAACACCGTGCATGGTTGCAGGGAGCAATCCTCCGCCCCATCCTCTAGCAAAGGCAATGGGGAAGAAGGCAGGAGCAGCAAATAACCCAGCATTGGAGCAGCACAAGCCCTGCCAGCACAAACAAGCTACAAAGACATCCAAGAGGTGACGCGGTTCCTCTGCAATCCTCTCTTGGATGCTCCAAAGCAGCCCCAAGGCCACAACAACCAATATGGGAACAAGGCACCCAGGGTGCAACAGGACACAGAGCAAACCCCTCCCTGCCATGCAAACCAAGCCCAGTTTGGGGTTGCTTGTGCAAAACCAGGGTCAAACAGTGCCCTCGCTGCATGGGCTTCAGAGCAGCCGTGCGGAGTGAGGGCATCCATAGGAACTTGATGCATTGGCAAGGGGGATACATCACAGCCTGCTCCTCACCGGCCTCCTACATCACCCATCTGCACTGCAGCATCCCGGTGTGAAACTGGGATGGTTCCCCTCGGCCTCACACCGGCAGCGGTTTTGGGGAATGCTGTTTCATGGAATCATTCAAGTTGGAAAAGACCTTTGAGAACGTTGAGTCCAACCATTCAGCCCACCCCGTGCTATTCTCAGCCCACAGAAGGAGCACCAGGACAGGGATGAGACACCCCATCACCTCCCAACAGGACTTTCAGTAAAGCTCAAAGCCCTTCTGGCTATCAGAGGGATGCGCTTTGGCTGGTGACTACCAGGATGGTGCAGGATGAGGCCACCACACTTAGGGCTGCAGCATCCCAGCCCTGCTGCAAAAGCCTCTCCTCCACAAGCCACTCCCGAATCAGGCTTTCTCTGTGTCTCACTTTTGAGGTGGTGAGTGCAGACAGGGGTGTAAATCCCACGGGGTGGGGGGAAAAGCGAGTGCTGGAAATGCATCGTGGTTCTGCCAGCCTAACCCCCCCCCCCCCGAGTCCCCATATCCTGCATCCCATTCCAGGCCCCGCTGGGAATCACCCCCCACACACGCTCCCAAACCCACCGAGGGCAGCAGAAGCAAAACAGGGGGGTTCTTACTTCAAAACAAGGAAAAACATCAGCTTAAGTCAGTTCTCCATAGGGATAAACCCTCTACACTGCAGCAGACCCCCCTACTGAAGAGGGGGCACACTGATGGAAGCCTCAGCCCTGCAACCCCAGACGGATGGGGAGGGAGCAGCGAAGTCCGGGGTGTTTGCAGGATGCAAACCGGGCTCGCTTGGCTGCTCGGGGGGAAGAGGGGGGGTTGGCAGCACTAATCCCCCCATTAAGGACCATTTCACACCTCTCCAGACGCTGGGAAGTTCTCACTGCTTGGCTCTGGAAGGGGGAAGTAAGCGCTGCTTAAAACATCCCGGTGATTACACAGGAATGCTGATGGAGAAGCAAATGCAGCAGAAGGGAAAAGGCTTGGCAAAGCTCGGGGCTGCGGTAAGGAGCTATTTAGATGGTGCCGATACCTCCCAGCCCGCGGGAAGGACCATTTTCCTCCAGTCACAGTTGGGCAACCATTGAAATGAGACCAACCCAGCCGAGGAAGGGAGCAAAACGCCAGTCAGGGACATGGGGAGTCAGTTCTGTACCAGTGAGGGCTCATTCTGGCTTTAAAGGGTTTGTGGGGAGCAAAGCGGACCACGCACAGCCCATCTCTAGGCTTGAAGCACCCCCAGAATCATGCAGGGGTGGCAGGGAAAGTGCCACCACCGCCCCAGTGGCTCCTTTCTGGCCAGATTCAGAGCAGATCCCAACTCTGAACATCCCGGCTATTCCTTTTGGACACTCCAGGAGCCTCAGGTCCCTTCTCCATGCTCATCCCAGCCCCAGCCCCACTGCAGGAGGCTGTGAAGCCAGGCAGCCCCTGGTGCTCTGCCAGCACCAAGCAGCCCTTGCTGCAGGGATTCCAGGCTTCCCACTGGGAAAATGGGGCTGGATCCTGCCCCACACAGCCTTCAGCTCTGCAGACCTTTTCCAAGCTCACTGGTTCCTACATCACAAGCCTCACAGCTGCTCCTGGACCCACAGACCCTCACTGACATCCTCAGTCAACCTGCTTAACGTTACCTCTCACCATCCCCTAACCCTCCGCAGGGCCAAAACCACCCTTACTTTAATCCATGTCTTCCTCATGCATCTCTCAGCAGGGACATCAGACACAGCACCCTGCACCCCAGCCCCCTAAAACCAGGGGTCACAGGAGCATCAGGGCTATTTTCTGCCCCAGCCTGACACAGATGCAACACCGTTATTTGGGAGCGATTCCATGCTCCGAGAGGTAAAAGCCAACTATTAGAGAGGTAATTTCATG